CCTCGACCCTAAGGCTCCTCTCCTGCATCGTCATGTTTTATTCAGCACCAGGGGAGTATTGGAAAATCGCCCATTGCAGTCAGGCAGGCAGCAACCTGAGCAAATAATCCAGGTCTTTCACAGAAGATCCCCCTCTCTACTCCCCTGTGGCCCCAGTAACAGAACACACCTACAACTGAATATGATGATGACAGAAAGCCACAGATTTGACATCCATTATTCAACGGTGGGTGCAGGAGGGTTAATATATACATGGCGTACAATGGGGATTCTGTGAGCCAACTACTGAATAAGTGCAGGAAGGGTTGGCCACCAATACAAGTTTGTTTTAAAGTGACTAGAAAGTACACCAACATATCTCCCAAAAACATTTAGATTATAATGGATTTAGAGGACATGTTAACATTTATTTCTTATTTATCAGTGAGCCGTAGAGGTTAACAGAAATGAAACAATGATGCATAAAGCTTAACACCTGGATTCAAACCATGTCAGAAACTGGGGGAATATTCAGGGTCACTGGCTTGTCAGTAAACCTACCAGACCATTTCCGTACCTAAATTCCATTTAAGGGTAATTGGACTTTCTGTGTTCTTTGAATAGGTTAAGAGCTCTATTTCATACCACAGTTGGACATTTCTTAGCTGCATATCCTACTCCCTAGTGAGAGTGAAAATGCAACCGGTTTTCTTCCATTCCAGGCATACCAGTTGTTAAAGACAGGAAATGGAACAGTAAAGGTATGTGTTATCAGGTTAGACACATGCAGCCATTAATGTTAACTCTGTTTCCTCCATCTCAACCTGCATTAGGCCCAATTTTAAACTAACCATGCATTATGTTAAGGTGGAAACTTGTGTAAATGTACAGTTTTATCTACTATCTTTGTTTACCCAAAGAGTCCTGCACTCATTGTTTTGTTGATTTTCTTAACATGAATGTCCCAATGTAAATGATAACCAAAATACATAATCACAGCCTGAGAGAAAAAACAAATATCGCTATTATAGTTTGTTTCTTCTCGTTGTATATATGCCATTGTTTTATGGGAAATGAGTGCAGACTAACCTTTGTGTCATTCAGTGTTAATACGAACATATTACACGCATATAGTCAGGCTGTATATGGGTTGAACAACCAATGGATCTCCTGACAACAAGTTAGATCCAGGCCTTATTAAATTAATAAGTCTTGACATTTTGGATTTCAGTTGGTCATTTTTATTTACTTTCAACTAATTATATTACTTTTCTTACTTTTTTTATAGACACAGTTTGGGTGCTTAACTGCGGTAGTAATAACCTGGTTTTGCTGATTTTCCTAAATCAATTATTCAGGACTAACCTATGACTATTTCTTTCATCAGTATCTAGCAGCTAAAATAAGAATGTCACTGGTCTGGGTTCTTTAACTCTGCCTCGTGCAGGGACACACAGGGGAAGTGAACCCTCCAGCCAGTCGCATGCTGCTTATTAATAATGGAAAAGCAATATACTGTCACAGCCGGAGATGTACTGTGGTAAGGTCAGGGAACCTGGAGATCACATTACCTCCCCAGATGTTGGACAGACATGGAGGGAAGGAGGCGAGGGAATGTATTTTTTTTCAAATGAGTCCAATTAATTGGGATATATTCAGGCCAAACATAACAATGTCTCCTTCCTTGTAATAAGATAAGATAAGATGGTACTTTATTGATCCCAATTTGGCATAGGTTTTATGAGGTGGACTCTTTGTGTCTCTCACCCCTTTGTTAAATGGACCAACAGTTTGGTGAGAAGGACCTATACTGTGTGAGTGATGACGTATTTCTTTCTCCGGAGTTAGCATTGCAAGGTCTCACAGCATCAACACTGCTAAGCTAAAAGGGGCTAATGTTGGGCGTAATGACCTTGTCGGTCTCATTTAGTCACTTGTTAGCAAAGCTATTTAATACACATAGACACATTTTACCATGTTTTATGTCGTCCATAAAAAAAAACATGTTAAAATATAACTTGGCTTTTGTCTGGCAATTACACACAAGGAATACTATGCCTGCAACCAAGCCCTCCTGTACTTTTACTGCATATCCTAGCTGTGCTCGGTCTGAATATTGTTAGCACTTGTTGCACAGTGATGCCTTGATGAATTAAGGTTTGAGTAGCAGTGTGATTAGTCCTAAAGGCAATGTCATTACAATTCAGCTCCAACTAGAGCAAGTGAGATATTTAGGGAAAAGAATGTGACATTTTGTACAAAGCTACTGAAAATGCCTGATTTTGAATAGTAGTCCAAATGAATTCTTTTTGATGAGAAGTGTTATGACATTGTGATCTAAAGTATAATCCCCTAGACATGCTTTGCTATGTTTCAAGAGGATGGATGTTCTGTTTTTTGAGTGAGTGTGGGTGTGCATTGAACAGTTCCTGTTTGATAAGCAGTCAGCATTTTACAGCATGTTTGCCTAAGGCTTTATGTATTGATCTTGCCTGATTTCATGCAGAGTCATGGGGCCTCAGTTATATGACCAGAGTGGAGTTATGAGACTTTGATCACTTCCACTATCATTGTTCCCTAAATGGTGAACAATGGCCTATACTTTCCTCAATAAGATATGTTCTCAATATCCTGAGGCCAAACCCTTTAACTCATGTTTGAAGTGACTATGGGATGCTGACTGGGTTTTCTGACATTGCTCCATTTTAGAATACAAAATAAAAGATACAAATGTTAAAATACACATTTTAATCTAAACAATAATTAAAAGTAGGAACTGTAAATAAAAATATATGATGAATACCAATTAAATAGAATTAACCGTTTTTATTAACATACGAATATAAAGTACATTTTGCAAACTATAATATATAACAATATACAGTGTATTGCAATATATGCATTAAGCGATCCCCACCGCTAGTACTAAATAACAACGAAGAATATGTGACCCGCTCTATCGAAATCAGTCGGAAGTCGCAACGGCTCATTTGAAAATAAACGTGGATTTGTGTAAAGAAATAGTTTTTCGGGGTTCGGGTGTTTTGTTTGATTTTAAACAAACAAAGTCTTGGCTTTCAGAATATGAAACTTTTACTTCCAAAATCACACGATAAATACATTTTTGAAGCTTGTAAAGGGACGAAGACAGGCACCTCTCACTCGCAATCTGCTCTTCTGCAGCGCCGCCCCCCCTCCCTCCGGCTGAAATTATGAATGTAAGAGTATAGTAATCATAGATAACACGGCAGGGTCCGTTACAGTTTGTTTTCATCTGATTTCAATTAAACAAAGTCTTGGCTTTCAGAATATTAAACCTTTTTCGGCAAATTCAGATGATAAATACAACTTTGAAGCTTCGGCATAATTACAAGCGGAGAACGGAGTAACTTAACGTCACAGCAGGCATAACAACAGCCGGTGTTTCTCGTGAGGGTTTTCCCCGGGAAACAAACACAATACACACAAACGCAAAATTACTAGGGCTGTCAAACGATTAACATTTTTAATCAGATTAATCACAGCTTTAAAATTTATTAATCATGATTAATCACCATTCGAACTATGTCCAAAATATGCCATTTATTTATGTATATTTTTGTGGGAATGGAAAGATAAATGAAAGAAGGCGGATATATCCATTTAACATACAGTATCTATGTTTATTAAAACATTTTTCTGCGTGTCAAAATGAAAGACAACCCACACACACCTATCAATCATCAAACCGTGGGGTCTTAATTCATACGTGTTGATTTCTATCAACGGGGGAGTACTTCAGGAAAGTCGACGGGGGGGGGGGGGGGGGGGGTAGTGGAGTACTTCGTGACCACAGAGTGTAAACGTTGTGATCAGCTGTTTTAGCGCAGTTCTCCAGTGAAGGGGGGAGTCTCCCTCCGCAGCCGGTTGGCGTAGTTTTGGCACAATTCCGTTGTACAGACCGACGTTAACAGCAGCCCTGTCTGTGCACACGGAGACCGACTCTGTCGTCCGGTGATCTAACCGCCTTCTGGAAAAGCTTCACAAGTACGTTGGTACGCAAATGCGCTTTGTGACACAAGTGACGGTACGCATTTCAGATTACACACATAACCTGCGTACCAGTTATGTGCACCCCTGTACTACAGCTAAAGTATTCTCCGTCGGGACTTCCTGCAACAACACCACGCCGTTATCAAAGATGTTCTATTGAGAAGACGATCACTACGTGACAAAAGTTTTCAAAACCGTGGTTACTGAAATCAATCTTACTAACTGCTGTCTGTGCAATTTACTCCGCGCGAGTTGGCAGACTTTATTTCGCTTTCTTTAACATCATTTTTCATGGTGGGGCTAAGCCATTTCTTGGTATGGGTGTAGCCTACCCCAGCCATACCCTGGCGCTGCCACTGGTGGCACGTATGGGGCGGGCCATTCTGCACATGCGTTAAATGCGTTAAATATTTTAACGCAATTAATTCAAAAAATTAATTACCGCCGTTAACGCGATAATTTTGACAGCACTAAAAATTACACAAACACACACACACTCGCGAGCTTCCCCCAGACCAGTAATCCAAACGAAAATATCTTCCCTCCGTAGTATTTTGATCATTTGCTCCGCTAATCAATCAGATCGATGGATTCCAGAGAAGAGGAAACTTTGAAGGCCTTTTTCTCAAAATGAGGACTTGGTGACAGTCATTATATAATGTGACATATTTTGCTTAATATTTGGAGTACAAAAACAATCCTGATATCATTAGAAAGCTAGGAATCTCCTCTTTCCAGCAGTGTATACAACTCAAAATGTGTCTTCGGGTCAATGCGACTGATTTCGATGGAGCAGGTCACATAATGTAACTTTGATTTAGAAGTACAGAGGCTCTATCCAACCTGGCCACATCTCCTCTCAGTCACATTATCAACTGGAACACAACTGCTCTGTAGTTATTTGTTAATACTTAAAGGAATAAATATGCAAAATGGGTTTAATGCTACCAATTTTTTGTATCTCTTGTCCTAATCCCACCTGTTTTCAGGAGCTGCTGGGTGTGCTTCGCCACAGACGAGGACGACCGCACAGCAGAGTGGGTGCGCCCGTGTCGCTGCCGCGGCTCCACCAAGTGGGTCCACCAGTCCTGTCTGCAGCGCTGGGTGGACGAGAAGCAGCGGGGGAACAGCACGGCACGTGTGGCCTGCCCACAATGCAACGCTGAATACCTCATCGTCTTTCCCAAACTGGGTATGTTGCATCTCACACAGAATACAACTGAGACTAGACTTACTGATCAGTGAGCACGGTTTAATTGCCACACATTTCAAAGCAAGGTGTCTAAGCTCCTTTTGTCTTCTTTTGAAACGTTGTGTAGAGCCTTTTGGGGATTTACAGGGAGCTGTGTGAAGTCTGATACATTGCTTGAAGCTAGAGGCCTGAGGCTACATTAGCTGCTACTAGCATAAGCAGTAGTTGATAAAGTGTTATAATAATATATTATAGTATATAATAAAAGTACTTGGTGCAGAAAAAAGCTCTAACTTTTAACAAAAACAAATGTAAACAAATATTTCATATTTGAAAAAGATCATGTTTCAAAGGTTATTCATATTTTGGTTTCAAAAATCTGAATCTATAAAATAACACGCAGTAAAAAAACACAGCGAATTTAAAGTGCAATATGGCCCAGAAAAAAATACTCAAGTAATGCACACGTACCTAAAAATGTACTTAAGTATGGTACTTGTGTAATGTACTTTACACCACTGAAATATGGGAGTGCAACGCTAAATTAGCTTAGTAAACAACAAACGACACACTTTTGCCTGTCTGCTGGTTTGAAATAATAACTCTAAAATGAATCAGTTGTACTGAAAAACATTGAATCACTAATTGTCCACCTGTTAACATTAAAGCCTGACTATAGAGCACATTTCCATGTAAACAGACGGCTCCAGCTTCTCTTTGAGGGCTGTTAGCTACTGTACTCAGAGAGCTATTCTGTTTGTCCTGCCTGAGTGCATGTTTATTTACTCTGCAGCCAGCATATGTTCTGAGGTGATCTGGGTAAATATTTCCTTTCAGTCTGAAGAGAAACCGAAGGGCCCTCACCCAGGTCCTGACTGACTGACTGACCAGCAGCAGTTTAAAGAAAGACGCAGCCTCAATTATCCTGACACAAGAGAGTGACTATGGCTTAAAATGTTCCCAAACACAAGCTTTGACTCATTGAGTGAATATACAGACCTCTGCTTATTTGCCTTTTTTGTTGTTTATTTCCAGGGACAGCAGCAAGAATAATTGAATATCTTTGTTGAAGTTTTACAGCCAAATGCCAAAACTTGAACATATGTGGTTATATATAGCTATATACAGTTGTCACTAATGGCACATTTCCACTACAGGGCCTCGCTCGGTATGGCTAGGCCTTGTTAGGCCTTGTTAGGACTGGCTCACTTTATGCTGCGTTTCCATTACAGTTTAGTAGCTGGGGCAGTAACTATAGTAACGCAGTGTAGGCGGAGCCGTGACGTCATCGTCAATGCGAACCACAGAAAAGCAACATCAGCCTTTAGCTGTTAGCACTCAGAGCTCACAGCTCTTCATATCTGTTCAGAAACTAGACAAAAGTTAAACAAGTACAAACCACAGACTGCCTGTGTCATGGCGAATACAGTCACTGGTTTATTTATGTCTGTATAGGCCGTTGTTGTGAGTGCTGCGTTAGCTTAGCCGATCTCCATTTAGAAAACACGCATTTTAAAAGGTGCTTCGCCTGCCGTCTGTCTGCAGACTTGTCAAAGCATTAATTTATGGTTTTTACTAACCGGTATCAGTATGTTGTTACTTCGGCATCATTTTGAAACGTGTATTACAATTAAATCACGGTAAAATATGTTCATTTTGTTGTAGTTGTAGCTCCCTTGCCAGCGATTCTCTCTCTCTCTTGTTTAGCATACTCAGCCCGACTCAGCCTGGTTGTTGGCCCGCTAAGAACCTCGATTTTATGGGGCCAGAAAAACTGTGAAATAGTACCCGCTAGCCGGTACTATGCCAAGTGGAAACGCAACCAAAAGCGTGCCGGGCCGTGCGCTCCGCGCTGTAGTGGAAATGCACCATAAGTTACCCGATCAGCCAATGAGCCGCTGTCAGTTCAACCTCAAGTTGCAATCTGAGACGGTAGCTTGCCCCAAGACAATGCATGTCTGCAGGAGGCCTGGCTTTGGCTTGTAAACAGGTTCATGTATATTTATGGTGACCAATGCTGTGCTGTCAGTCAGTTTGGTTCTATAGGCAGAGAGTTCTGCTCAGCTTTTCAAAAAATGTATCCTCCTCAATAAATAACCCAGTGTTTGTCTGTATCCTTCCTCTGAGAGCTGATTATTGGCTGCTTATTGGGTATTTGTGAGTGGCCTTTCCTTTTTCTATTCAAGGTCATAGTAATGTCTCAAATGTCCCCATCGGACGTTTAATTTGTGCTGTATTCAAGAGGACATATTCTGCTCATTTTCATGAGATATCAGTATGTAGCGTCTCCACTGTGACATGTCTCCTTGCTTTCATGTTCAAAAAGCTCTTTATTTTTCTCATACTGCCCGCACCTCTTTTCACCCTCTGTCTGAAACCAGAGCCCAGTCTGCGCTGATTGGTTAGCTCTGTTGTGATTGGTCAACCCCTTAGAGATGTCTTGCCCCCTAGCCTTTCACATACAAAGTGCTGGAGCACTAGCCAATAGAAGAGCGAGTGTTAATCAGTGATGTCATTATGTTAGTAATGCGAGTAAATATAGTCCAATGGAGGCGTTTCAGGCAGGGTGGGAGGTAATGTGTGGGAGAGAAACTCCCTCTGGTGGGAACTTTGGGATTGTAGCCTTTGGAAACCATTTACATGCACACAAACCTATATAACACACTACAGGAAAAACATAATAGAGCCCCTTTAAACTCTTTTGAAGTCATGATTTTTAGACATGTTCTGCCACATCATTATGTCGTTATTCTGAGCCTGCTCTTTTTTCTAACAGCCAAAGAGGAGTGGTGGCTTAGAAGGTCAAATGTTTACACTCATCAGCGCCAGACTCCCACTCCTTAGTTTGTGTTTCTTTGTAATGTGTTCTAACCCTCAAGAGGTTTGGCCAAAAGCAACACAATGTCATAATGAATGGGCCGGTGGTTTATTTTGAAAGGGAGCTTCCTCTTTACTGTGGCTGAATGTCTGAGTGATGGCAGCCTGAGGGAACGATGCAGCAGACTGCTCACTTATATAGGGCGTTATATAGGCAACCAGAGGCTTGTGTTACCTTTGGTTTAGCCACATCTAACTGGCTGTCTCTCAGAGAAAATGACTGTGAGAGGTGTGTCTCTTAACGTTTACTTCCTCAGAAAATCAGTATATATATCTTGTGCAAATACAAATGTCTAGTAAGGCATAAAGTTAGAGTGCAGTTGAGCTTTGGAGATGAGATGTATTTATGAATAATCGTGTTATACAACTAGAAAGCATTGGAAATTGTGAAACGAGCAACTTTTTACTTGGAGAAGGGGCGACCCTGTTGCTATGGTTGACGTGTTAACTATGACTACAGTGAATGGTTGGAAATAAAATTAAAAAAGATTTAAAGATAAATAAATAAATAAAACATAAATGATAATAAAACCACTCAACTGTTGAGTCTCTGTTAACAAAAATTACATATGTTTTGATATCATTTGGCTTACCCCAAAATGTTCCCACATGGTAATTCATAACAAAAAATGTATCAATGTGTCTTACCATTAATCAAAAAGTGACATTATAGAGTGGTGCAGGAATGAGGTCTGAATGAGAATAAATGTTTTTAGAACATGTTTTGACATAAAACACGGATCAGGACAGGAAGTTGAGCAACATTGAGTTATAAGGACAGAGCCTGTTCAGTTTCCTGAAGTCTCATCCACCTGGAGAGTGTTTTTCCCTAGTCCCCTTCAAAAGTGTTTGACGCAAGGGAGCAGAGAGAGGGTGGATGTGTCTGGGAGAGAGAATAAGGTCACAGGAGGAGAGCTGAAGGAGCAGCTCATTAAAGGCTGGAGGAGAAGAGTGGAGTGCAGAAAAATCCGTGAAATTGCGGCTGTCCTCGAGTGTTTCCCTGTGACTAAAACATCACATCGTTAGAAGTCTGTGATAGTGATAATCCTACATAATATGGAACAGGATGTGCCTCAGACCTCATCACCACATGCAAAAGTGGCATGCTGATTTGCAAGATGTCAGCCTCATTTGCATAGTACTTGGTCTGAGAACATTTGATTACTTGGTGTTACCATACTATGACACTTTTGGTAGAGCTTTTTAAATTAAATGTCCTTTACTGTGCTTTAATTGTTTGCAAATGTGACTAGAAAAATCCCTAATTTAAATCTTACTTGTGCCATCTGAAAATGTCTAGTCTCTAGCTGCAGAATACCTTGGACATTAGTGCTCTTCAAAGTTAGCAGGAGGAGTATAGTTTTGTCACTTTTGCTGCAGTGTTCCTTTCCCTTTTTTTGTTCTTAGTCATATAGATGTATAATGCTGCCTATGCTTCGGGGCGGTGGTGGCGAAGTCGATAGGGGCTTGGCAACTGGAAGGTCACCAGTTCAAGTCCCGGCAAGACCAAGTGCTATCGAGGTGTCCCTGAGCAAGGCACCGTTCCCTACACTGCTCCCCGGGCGCCGTGCAAAATGGCAGCCCACTGCTCCTAACACTAGGATGGGTCAAATGCAGAGAAACAATTTCCCCACGAGGGATTAATAAAAAGTCCATCTTAATTTTAATTTGGTTGTAAACACAGTTTATTACTCCATGTGTTTGATTTCAGTGGCTTGGCTTCAAAAGCTGTTTTATTTGCAGCAGCTTTAATTAGCTGTTTAAAATAATAGCAATTTCACAGTTTGATGACAGCTTTTAATATAAGTGACTGAGACCCCGGCCACACGAGGACGAAAACGGCTAAACGCATAGGATTAACGCAAACGCAATCGCAAACAAGCTTCCGTCCACACGCAATAGTTATCTGGATAGTGTCTGCCCACACGAGACCGCTCCGTTTAGCTCCAACCGCTGGAGAAGCTGCAGTACATATGCAGGAGCCTGTACGTGGCGCTGTAACTTCCTCCACAAAAGCAGCGAAGAAGCATGGTTGTCATGGTTGCCCTTCTGTTTATTCTCCGCGGTGGGGGCCGAGGGAATCGGGCAGAGTTTTTCGCCCTCAACGTGTATTAAAGTTTAAA